CACGTCCCCTGTTCCCCGCCCCTCCCCCTGCACCCAGGGGTGACGCGCCCTTACTTGGTGTTGTGGGTGTCGATGGCGTGGAACAGCTCGTGCAGGTCCTCTCCACTCAGAACGCCGTCGGCGAAGTACGCCTTGAATTCTTCAAAGGACAATTTCCCATCGTCTGAAATGGTAAGAGCCAACAGAAGCGACTCATTTTAACTTGTGTCTGGTTTTATCTTTAATTTTTCAAACTTTGCTCAAATGTTCGTGCAGCTTTATCTGTGTGTGCGGACACACATATTCAAAAAGAAAGAACAATTCAAGGTGCTAAAAAGAAAAATAATTGAATGTCTTTATAGTACAGAAATTGCAGATGTGTTCACTATTCACCCTCATGAAATATGTCTGCACAGTTTTGGGTATTTTTTGGTTCATTTATTCATATGGCAAGAAGCATTTAACATTTAACAAGCAATGTAACCGGCCAGACCAAGAGAATATCCACACCACCAATTAAAAAAAACAAAAAAAAAAGCCCAAGGCAGAGTCGATTATGCGGGTGGTTCGCTCACAGACAGGACCTAGCGGGCTGCAGAATAAACATGTTTAATAACTGCATATGGATGACCAGACGCGAACGCGCGGCTATCAGAACTGCAATTACAGTCCACCAAATTGTGTTCACCCCTTTACTCTTTAAACAAATGGGCACTTCCTGAGCCAAGCGCGCATGCCCCTGCTGTGGGACACAGACGTGGGACACAGCAGGAGTCTAATCAAGCCGTGAGGCGCACAGAAGTCAGCGTCAGCACCTCGAGCAGCAGGACAGAGCAAGTGCGACAGGAGACATGCGTCAACGCACAGGACTTCAGGAGATAAAAGCTCCTTTCCGCTCGGGGCACAAGGCACTTACTAACTTCTGCGTCTGATCTTGAACAACAGGGAAATCTGGATAAGCAGAAAGGGGGAGCCACATCAATAACAGGTGAACGTGAAAGCTCTGGACAAGACGTAGCAGCGAATCTAGGGGCAGGGGCTGCCCTGGAGGGAGATGAGGCCCCCCTCTCTGTGCGAGGAGATACACCCCGATCTCGAGGCCCACAACAAAGCCCCAGCACTGCAGCCAGCACCCTGCCGGCCAGAACAGCTGCATGCTCACACAGAGCAGAGTCGAACCCACACCCGCAGTCAGCTGATCTTGGACTCAGAAGCAAAGGCCGTTATAGAGCAGGACAGCTGAATGTCCACACGCAAAAAAGATGAGCCCAGATGTGGGCCTTGCACCTCGAAGATAATAAAAATGGGCTCAGAACGGACCACGGACCGAAACGTAAAATGTAAAATAAGAGAACAAATACGTTACCTTGGGTTGGGTGATGAGTTTTCAGATACAAAACCAAAAGTACGATCCATGAAAAAAGAAATGGTAAGTTGGACTTTTTTAAGATTTAAATATTTTGCTCTGGGAAAAAAAATTACTCTTGAGAGAATGAAAGACAAATCACAGAGTGGGAGGAAATATTTGCAAAACATATGTCTGAATAAAAACATGTATCCATAGCATACACAGAACTCTTAAAACAATAAAAAGCAAAAATCCAATTAAAATGTGGGCAAAAGTCCGAACAGGCACTACACCAAAGACACACAGATGGTGATTAAGCATTTGAAATATTTTCAATATTATTTGTCATAAGGAATTAATACTTTAAATAGCAATGAGATACTACTACATACCCATTAGAGAGGCTAAAATCTCCCCTTCCCTGAAAAGCCCAGCAAAGCCCCGAACCGCCTCGATTCCCGGCGAGCATGTGGGAAAACAGGCACGTCCATGCCTGCCTGTGGGAAAGCCAAAGAGTTCAGCCCCTTTGGAAGACCTTCTGGCATTTTCTTAGGCAGCAGTCATGCTCCTAGGTATTTACCCAACCGGCTGAAAACTTACATCCCTATAAAAACCTGCTTGTGAATGTTTACAACAGCTTTATCCACAATTACCAAAAACTAGAAGTAACCAAATGTCCCTCAATCAGCGCACAGATGAAATAATTTTGGTTCATCCACACAAGGAATATTATTCAGTGATTTTAAAAAATGAGCTACCGAGCCTCAAGGAGACATGGATGAATCTCACATGTCTACCCGGAAGAAGCCAGTCTGGAAAAGCGACACAGTGCATGATTCCAGTTTTATGGCATTCCGGGAAAGGCAAATTCATAGAGGCAGTAAGAAGATCCGCAGCTGCCGGGGGTCGGGGTGAGGACGGCGGACAGGGACAGGGGGTGCCTCACAGCGGGGAAACTGTTTCGTAGACACGGAAGGATGAATATGTGACATTATGCTTTATTCAAGAGCCGTAGAACTTTACAAAACAAAGAGTAAACTTTAATGTATGCAAATTCTTAAAAAATCATTTAGGAGTTTAGGCGATCCCAGGGTGAAATGCAGAATGTGACAAAATAATTTAACTGTATTAGAAATGTATGTTGTGTGTCGACTATAATAGAAAAATAGAAAAATGTTTGAAAATGTAAGAAACCACTGAAGAAAGCGAGGGAAACTCTGGGAATGACTGGCGTCTGCCAGCCAGGGGCCAACGCAGCGCCCAGAGCTGAGCCGTGCTTGGTGAAGCTGCTTCCCGTGAGCCGCGTGTGTGCACTGGGATCGCACGGGATGTGAGTGACAGCGACGGGGTCCAGGGTGCTCGCTGCTGGACCGCGAGGAGGTCACAGTAAGCGAAGGGAGGGGGCCGACCGCTCAGCGTGGTGATGGTCTGGAGTCTGAGCGATCAGTCTGAACTCCTGTTTAGCTTCATAGAGGAACTCGTGGGTGCACTACAGAAGCGTGCACACACGTGGGTCAGCACACACAGGCATCCTTCCTTGCTCGATCAGCTGAGGGAGCTTAGAGCAATGATGAGACCGCGGTAGTACTGAGCACATGGACCACCCAGAGACTGGTTTCTGATACCTTCTCCAATAACATGACCAGGGCTCCCTGGAGAAGAGGCTGATTCTAGGACGGTGGCAGGAATTATAAAAGATGGGCCTGAAAAATCTTACAGCGCCAGAAAGTAAGGAAGTGCTAAAGATCCCTCACAGTTGTGAGGGTATGTCAAGGGCACACAGGAGTCGAGGGAA